GACTGAGGCTCAATGTCAAGAAGACAAAGATTCTCACCACTGGACCAATTGGCAGTGTCAGGATGGATGGCGAAGAGATTGAGATTGTTCACAGCTTCAGTTTGCTCGGCTCCACAGTCAACACTCTTCGCACCAGCAGTCAGGAAATAAAAAAATGTATTGCAATTGGAAAGTCTGCTGTGAGGGACCTCCCTAGGTAGTGAAGAGCAATGGCGTCACTCTGGAGACCAAGGTGAGTCTGATACATGCTTTGGTCTTTGCAATCACTTGTTAAGCATCAAAGAGTTGGACAATGACTAGGAAGAATAGAAGGAGAATTGATGGCTTTGAACTGTGGTGCTGGATAAGAGTATTGAATGTACCTTGGACTGCCAAGAAAATAAACAGATTTATCCTGGAGAGGGTTAAACCAGGCTGCTCCTTAGAGGCAAGGATTCTGAAGCTTCGTCTAACATACTTTGGACATGTTGTAAGGAGAGACCGGTCCTTGGAGAGGGACATCACGCTTGGTAGGGTGGAGGGACAGCGCAGGAGGGGAAGGTCCTCTATGAGGTGGATTGATTCAGTGACTAGGATAATCGGGATGGGAGTATCAGAGAGTACGATTGGCACGGGACAGAGTTTAGGGCTGTTGTACACAGGGTCGCTATAAGTTGCAAGCGACTCGACGGCACATAACAACATAAAAGAAATAATATTAGATATAAAGGTAAAATTTTAAATATTTTTATATTAAACTTTTCTTGGCTCTCTGGAGCCAATTTTACCCTTTTTATTCATCTATCATATTGTTTATACTATAAGACAAATCACCTATAAGAGAAAATATCCACTTCCATTGAGTCTATTCCGACTCATCATAACCTTCCATTAGGTTCTCCAAGGCTATAAATCTTTACAGGAGGAGATTGGACACCTTTATCCTGTAGTGAAGAAGCTGATGGATTCAAGCTGCTGATCTTTTGAGGTGTTAGCTTAAAATTTGGCTTTTCTATCCTTTATGTTATGCATCAGAGAGTTGGACAATGACCAAGGAGGATAGAAGGAGAATTGATGCCTTTGAGCTGTGGTGCTGGAGAAGAGTATTGAGAATACCAT